TGTCAACCTGTACCTGCACAATTAAGCCAGGAAGGTACATTCCCCTCCAACTCCTCCTGGGTCCCCCGCAGTTCCGGTTTTCGGTGTAAGAGGGTGGCTGCCTCGCCCTGCCTTGCATACTCTCTTCCAGGTGCCTGAACCATCTCTGTGCCCTGGATGTGGCTTTATGCTTATGGTCCTGGCAGGACAACCATTCCTAATATAACAGGAAACAGCACACCTGATCCAGTATGACACAACGTGCCATCCCGCAGAACGGCACACACTACGCCACGCTGTGACAGCCACTTCACTTGACAGGCAGCCACTCTTGTAGCCCACTACCTGCCAGATTACGTACTAGGTCTTGGGGAGTCCAGAGTTGGAAAACAAGCTCCCTGACCTCGACAGCACCTCTGCCTACACTTCTGAATGTAAGTGTGCGCGCCTTCCCTCCGCCAGCCTCTGGTGTCCGGGTGTCGTGCCGCAGGAGCAACCGGTCCTGTGTCCCATTCTCAGGACTGGGTTTGCATTCTGTGTTTCCTTAAAAACTACAGGGACAACTACTGCCCCTGGTGTCCTGGGAAGCACCAGGTGCCTTGCTGAGACCCCGTGGTGCCTTCTCTCCCCCGCAGGACTTGGAGAAGATGGCGACCTCGCCCATCGTTGGGGTGCTCTCTGTGCAGGTTCCTTCGTCAGCAGCACTTCCCAGCACGCTGACGTCCCTGTGTCCGCCCTGCTGTACTGGTTTGGTTCTGTCAGTGGTTGTTGTCCCTCTACCAAACGTCTGGAACTGTGCTGATGCTTGAATCAAAATTAAAAAAAAAAAATGAAGCCAGACATAGTTCCTGTTCCCCAGGGCTCAGTGATGTTGGGTGTATCTGTTTACCTGAGGTCCTTTCCTGGGGGTCCATCTGCTCCTTCAGAATATATTCTAGCAAGGAAAAGCCTCAGCCACTGAAGCTGCGGGGCCGTGCCATGTCAGGGACGGCAAGAGGAAGCGCCGGGGGGCTGACTCTTTTTTGGTTAAGTTCTTCAAAAATCCTCAGGTGAAGACTTCACTTTAAAATGTTATTGTTAATGTTCTATTTTCCTCAAACGTGATTTAATATAATCAAAACTGTTTCAAAGCCAGTTAAAACTTAAGCTGCCCAAATTTATATTGAACTGATATCTTATAGATTAATTTAAAATGATCTGTTTTTAATGCAAGCACATGATTAAATGTAATCTTTGACTAATTACAACTTTAGCTTTCTGCAAATAGTTACTGCAGGCAATGTATTCATTTTGGATCATAAAGTATGGTTTAATTATTTTAAGACTTTTATATAATTTCCCTTAGTAAGTGAATACTATAGCTTGTTATCCAAAGTTCACATTTTTTTAAAACTGAACACACTTTTAGTAGTATTCTCAGCTTGAAAAATTAAATTATTTAATTTTTAAATGAGCAAGGGAGTTTTTAACATCAGTATCCTACTCAGTGCAACATAATCAAATTTAAATCCATGCAACTCAGAAGTGGAGAGAGTAAAACACTAACATGCAAACTCTAATGCCAAGGAATTGCTAAAATATATCCATTAGCTTTTTGTCTATTTGGGTTGCAAGGCTCCCAGGGCCAAGGTTCCTACCAACGTAGTCTAACTAGTTCTGACCCCCAGTAAGAGGGCTTGCGAGCCAGCCTAGAGCTCACTCTCCGTCACGTCACTCGCTCTGTCAAGTCCTCTGGACAGTCCTATCCTTTCTTGCTGAGCGTGGGATTTCCTTCTCTCTCTCTGGCCCATGTGGTGACAGGATGTCCGGAGTCCTGGATGTGCGGGCAGTATGCAGGGCACATGTGTGTAACAGCAGCCATGCTACATAATGTGTGATGATGATTAATACGACAGAGTTTGAGACGTCTCCCCCACCTCGCATGGGGGCCTGATTATTTGGACTGACAGTCTTAGCCATTAAAATTTGGAATGACTTACTCAACAAGGATGTCATTTTCTCCAAAAAGCTATGGTTAAAATGAACAGATTATGAGATTTCCTGAATGATGCATTGCATCCTGAAATTAGCTAAAAGCCATATTGGAATTCTTACTTTATCAACATAGTTTTAATTCTCTATATAGAACATTTTTTCTCACTATACCCTATTTAGAATGTATTGTCTTGCATGCTACGCCAGTAGATACTAATTTCTTTTGTAATTGCACCTTTAATCTAGATCTGCATCTATAATGAATGATTTGTCATGATCAGCAGTGACAGTAACATCCATAACGTGGGACTGCATGCTTTCTAGATGAAATACTGCTGATAGGGAAGAGTTTATTCTGCTTATAATGGCTTCCCACTCTATTAGCAATACCTCTTCTTCTCAAAGACATTTGAAGTACTTAATATAGAGGCTTTTTTATAGCACGATATTCCCATTTTACAGATGACAATATTGAGAACCTGATGGCTAAATAATATGGCATTATTATAATTATGACCCATTCAACTAAGCCAGTTTATTCCACCTTGTTCACTATTAAATGCTCTTCTACCTCTCAAATGCCATTAACATAATTGTCAACTAATTGATGTGAATATTTGGCCCATATTCCCCAGGGCCATCTAGACCTCCGTTGGCTATGTAAATAGAGTCCATTGGGTAAAATTAGAAATTAATAGGGCACAGCGTATGACTTCACCTAGTTCTTTTAATTGCCCATAGGTGTGTGTGTGTGGTGCACACTTGTGTTTCTCCTGGACTAACGACACTTCAGGAGAGGGCAAATGCACTTGTGGGCAGCCCGACAACTGCTTGGAAAATGGAAAATAAAACCAGTAAATTAATCAGTCCTTCCTATTTAGAAGATTCTAATAATTAAGTTTAAAGTTTTTTATTTTCCCACTAATTTTTTTCCAAAATTGTCCAAACTGAATGTTTGAGAACATTTTACAAATAATAAATTGCCATTCAAGTTTAAATGATCTAGACAGAGTCTTAGCAGTTATTTACCATAACATCCAGGCCCGCCTCTTGACTTGTTTTCCATGTCTTGCAGGCCTGCTCCTGACCTTGTGGAGTTCACCCAAGCAGGTGCAGGCTCTCAAGTCCACTGGAACCCTGGACTCAGGCTGTCAGGGGCGCTGGGTTTGAGAACAAGCTCCTGGTGTCCTGTGCACTCTCAAGGTGAGGGGCCACTGCCCTAGGGAATCTCTTAAATCTAAATCCTTGGCAACCCAAAGGCAATCTGGAGTAGGCATTCATTGAAAAACAAAGCAGTTATCATATATACTCCGCTCAAATTTATATTGCAGTTTTCATCGATGCATAAAGAAATACAGTGCGTAAGCCTCATGGAAAGCCCCACCCTGGGAGTGTTGGAGCATCGCCACCGGGATGCCTCATCTCCCAGGCTGGCTTTCACTTCCTCCGAGAAGCCTTCCCTGACTCCCCCACACTGGGCAGATGGTCAGGTAGCCCCTGGCATACACGTCTGCCCCACCACCACAGGGCTCCATCTCACACTTGCGTGTGTGACAGTCTCATCCTTCGGCAGTGAGCCTCAACATCCGGCCACACACATAACACGTGCTCGTATCATAACCCGGACATGCAATATACTCGTAATCAGTATTTGTCGAACCGATGAATGAAAGAATGCGATGACTGTCAGGTAACACTAAGGAGAAACTGTTATCAATATGGATGAATGGGAAATTGGTTTGTATAATTACCAGTGTTTCCCACTTAGGCCAAATTTGGCACTTAGTATTGCAGCAATGCCCCACTTTACCTCTGCCCAAGCAGGCACAGGCTTAGACGTCAAATGACCATTTACTGAGAACCTATGATTTGCTAGACACAGCACACACCCTAGATCATAATTCTCACTATATTCTTCCGAAGTTGGCTTTATGTTTTCTGTTTTGCATATGAGAAAAATGACTCAAAGGCTGCACATTTGACCAAGGACATGGACCTAGTGCACGACAAGCCAGGATTGGCTGCAGTCCTGTCTCACTGGGAGCCTTACATTCCTTCTCAAGTCGCTGGACTGCAGTACAACAGATTAGAAAAACTCTAAATACCATTATCGACTCACCCTACGTCTTGGCTCTTCCTTTTCTTTGAGCAAAGGATGGCATTTCTCTGGGGGCGAAAATGCAAATGGCCAATTTTCACAGACCTTCCTCCCGAGTTCAATTTCTCACACAAACAACAAAGCTCCTGCCTCTCCATCAATGTGCACATTCCTATTAAATTTATTGCTGAAGTTTTGTCCTACAGTTTGGATGACTTAAAAGTGTGAGGTTTGTAAGCCCTTTTTCAGGTTAAAACGTGCTCACCTGATTTCCTCCGGTTCTGCTGCTTAGAAATAAAAAAGCTAAGTTGGCCTCTGAATTTCTTCAGGTCAATCTTTAACTGCTGCCACACTGTTATTTGGTTTGATATACCTATAAGGTACTTTGCCCTATAAATTCTTGCATGCATCCTGTGAGATGCTGGGTCAGTCCTTTAGATGTCTAGGACTCTCGTTTCACATCTTTTCGTAAGAGTGTAGGACGCACGGAGTGTACTATGGCTGCCACTAGATATCATCTCTAGTTAGCATTTCCGGGGTGCTCAGAGAGAAAACAATGTCTGGGTGATAACTCTTGTCAGGTTCCCCATTGTCAAACCCAATCTTACATTCCTTCACACTCACAATATTTCCCCATTGGGAACATGCCTGACATTGCAATTTCTCAAAACTGCAGCTCTGCAGTGAATGCCTAATTCCTGAAACTGCAAAATCTAACAAAAGCTGATTTTTTCCACTGATTTGACTGGCTGACTATTTCGAGGCTTTGCATGTGATGACCTGCTGTTCTTCACAAACAACATCTTTAATGTACCCACATGGTTGTTCTGAAGTGGCTGCCGGCAATTAAATCCTTGCGAGCTGCCTGCCGGGCATTCAGAATCACTAACAATGTCCAGAGTTTCTGCTATGAACAAATTTTCCCCATAGGTTACATTTAGTAACTTACCAAGTAGCAATCTGTTCCTGCTTTTGAACCTGGAAGCCATTCATGGCCACAGTGAGAGCCGGTGTTACGGGGCAGGCTCTGCATGTCTGTCCGTTCCCTTGTAGTTACTTGTTTTGTGGTGTTTTAAAAGCTGCTTTCTCTCTCTCTCTGTTTGTTGTTGGTGTTTCCACACTTAAAGATGAAAAGCCAATTTAGAGGAAAACGTGGCAATTTTTTTAAACTATCAAAATAGATTATCTTTTTCTATCTTTGGGTATATCATTTGTTTGGGTTCCTTATCTATTTTCGATATTTGTTAAAACTCTTCATGGTGTTATTTAAACCCAAATTCCCAACCTGACTGCTAAGAAAAATTCATGAACTTTTTTCCCTTCCCCCCAGACCCTCTCTCACCCTTCACCCCAAACTCCAGTTTTCGTGACTTCGCATGAGCCCAAGGTTTCACTCCCTGGGGAACAACAGGGCTATAGTTTACAAACCTAATCAGTGCCTTAGTCCTCCACGCTGATGGAGAATGGGACCTGGTAATAAATAACCTGGACAGACTTAACCGCCTCACCCCCGCGCCCCCTGCGTGCCTACACACCCACCCTCACACTGGGGCTTCAGGAACCCACGGGTCTCGGGGCAGGCGCCCAGCAGTCAGGCTGGCCAGGAGCGGCCGAGGAGGCGGCCCGGGACCAGGGAGAGCAAGCGGCGTGGTTTAGGAGGGCTTCTGAGCACCACCGGTGCCCCCAGCCCCACGGCGGTATTTGCACCACTGGCCTCAGTGCTGGGCAGCCCGGGGTGCGGGTCTCCCCAAATATCCCGGACCCCCAGCCCCCAGCCCCGGAGGCGGGTGTCCCCTCTCCCCAGCCCGCAGCCCCGGGTGCTGATGCCCGCCCCCGCCCGCCTCGCACTTGTTG